TTGGGCTTCCAGATGCCCATATTTGGTGGAGGATTACGTTATTCAGAATTTGAGGGCTCTATGTACAGTTGTTTTATCACAATGCGAGAAACCTCACTTACACGTCAAAAACTTATAACCGTTTAGAACAACATTCAGTTCTGTCGTTCTGCCATCAACCTTCGTGGGTGAAGGCACTAGATTATTTCGAGCGTTAGATGAGCGAAGAGCATGATCTTGAGCCAACAAGCCACCGCGGTCAGATTTTGCTCTTATTGGGTAGGCCTTTCTCGCTACTATGATATGAGTTTTTCACTCATATTGCTAGTAGCAAAAGGATGGATGGAATCGATGCTCAGTTGAAGCTGATGATAATATCAAGCAAACGATATACAGTGAGTGTAGCTATGAAATCAATCATCATGAACGTCGGATATGTGGGGAATTATGAATATATTATCGAAGCTCTACAACGACCAAATTCGGCCAGCTGGTGAGCCAGATATTGAAATCGAATACCTTATATGCGATAACGAAAAAGCCATGAAACGACTACAGTTACTAAAAGGCAAGTGCGAATCTTTACTTAAGGCACGAGATCCCCACTCCTTCCTACAAAACGTAAATTTAGGAAAGCGCAAAACAATATTTGCACCAAGGAAACTTCTGAACGATAATTAATTAAGTTAATGATTATTGTGAAGGCTTTACGAGACCTGCAAAACTGTCAAAAGGTAACAATAAAAATTATCCAAAGCCAAACCGACTAAAAATCAGTTTGATACATTAAATTACCAGACAGAGAATAATGAGAAAGACAGTGCTGATTCGTCGATAAAACAGCAGGATATTCCTACCTGGCAATTTCATACTACACCCTTTATAGTTAAACCTCCGGACGATGTTAATTTTAAAGAATTACCTAATAGATATCTTTTAAAACAAAAGTAGAACTTCCAGTGCAAAATACCTGAAAAATCTTCCCTACTACTACAGAACTTTTATTGTCACTTTTTCGAGAGTTCAGTGTTGAGCACTACGCAATAAACCACAAAAATGCCCGTCAAATCAAGGTCTTAATTCGTGGGCTTCCTATAGATGCAAATAAAGATGAAATCAACTCAACACTTACCAAAAGAGGCTACTCGGTTCACAAAATAGAACAACTGCCCATTAACCTGACCAGGAAACTCTAAATACTTTGATTTACTGCTTCAGATGTATTATAAATTTTACATTTTTAATTTCAATTTTTAAATTTAATTTTAAATTTTGGATAATATACCGCTGACTTGGGAAACTAGGTGTACTCTTCTGTGTGTGCCTATCTGTGCATAAAAATCTGCAAACTGCACCATCTCCCCTTTATAAGCGTTCTAATATTAGTACCTAGTCAAACATTTATAATGATTTATGGCTATTGCGTAAATACAAAAAAGTAAACACGTTTACAAACTTAGGCTTTAAAGAGTTATCTTAAGGTACACACCTTTATGGAGGACCAATTTGATGAGCCCTTATGTGGACACATAAGGGCTCACCAATCGTGGGATTCTATGATAAGCTCTGGTAAGAGCGGAATTAATTCCCGCTCTAAACCAGAATATGCAACCAAAACATCAAAGCTTTAAAGAGCTTTGGCTGTGAAAGCATACACAACTTAGAATGAGTTAAGCACATTTGCCTTACTAAAAAAAAAAAAAAAAAAAAAAAAAAAAAAAGACATATGTTTCAAATACTTAGGGGAAAAAAAGGAAAGTGAAAACTTTCCTTCTTGAAGGATGCGTTTGGTCAGTGATTAGCAGTCAGCCACAGAAGATTGCAGTGCATTCATGTATCCTTCCACCATTAATTTCGGAAACGCAGAACGCATGCGCATAGGAGTTGATTGAGCATGAGACTTGTTTCAATGAGTTTACGAAAAAGTACGGTATTTAAGTGTAGTGTAGTTCGCTGAAAACATTTTAGAGTAATCGAAATGTAATTGATCGTTACGTATAATTTTTTAAACGGTCTTAAGAAATAGGTGAGTGTCATTTTTAAAATTTCTTTAGTTTGGTATTTATTAAATTTTTATATAATCGGTTGCTTCTGATTACAACTTTCAGCTGTAATTCCTATGGTAAAGTATTGTGGTAGTCATCGGATCGTAGATGCTATGTGAATATATATATATATTTGTTTTTTAATGTACATATGCATAAAAAAGAGGAATTTTAATCGAAAGAATAATGCTACCTAAGCATTTGTTTATCAAAATGTATACGGAAGATATCAGTTTTTTTTAGAAAATATATCGTGCTTGTTTATTAAGAGTGCAATAATAGTTATTAAAATAATCTGTTAACCTTTTTTGATTTAACTTTTACATCAAAACTTCTGGCTAACACTTGGAATATAGTTTAAATCCTGAGTATATCCCTGTGACTTTTGTTATGTGTCATGTACACTTTGTCAATTTCCTTGTTTTTACGATTTTATACCAGAATTTATAAGATAAGTTCATTTTCTGCCGAAGTTCGGGTCATATTTGGTGTATTAATTCTTCTTCTTCTTCTTATGAAGTTATTCCATGTCTCTTAAAAAATAGATTTTGGTAATAAATGTGGTAAAATATCATCCATTAAGTTTTAAATATTTTTTTGAAAAAAAAAAAAAAAACTGTGAACAATTTATTCTTGCTAAAGGTTCTGACGGAAAATTTTTTTAATATCTTGAGTTTATTTTTTTATGATTTTTAACTTATTCTGCTTGTAAGTTAAATTCATGTGTTTCTTCTCTGTCTTACTGAAATTCATCAGTAATCCTTCATGCGTTTCTTTTCTGTCTTAGTGAAATTCATGAATAATGCTTCATGTATTTCTTCCTACCATATTATCTTGTAATTGTTATTTCATGTTTGATCTGAGAATTTAATGTGCCAACTAGATCCGGTCACTTCAAGGGTTCACTGAACCTAATTCTAACCTAATACTCTTCCTCTTTATGCAAACAACATGCATGCAACACTTGATGTATATGCAGGTGACATAGCGATTGTAACTTGAATTGTATTCCTGAATTCAATTTTTCACTCCTTATAATAACATATCTGTGCACTGGAGTTCTGGCTTCAAAAAATGGAAAATTGCTATTATTTTAGATGTTTCAGAAGTATATTCTATTTGATACTACAACAGCTCCTGGGCCATCAATTCTTATTAGTTTTATGTACAAACAAAGCATATTCAGGAACATTTTATGTGGCACACACATCATTTCTCAATTATACCGCATACCATGACTGATGTATAAATTATCTCTTGAAAATTAGTATTGCACCACAGAAATAATGATCTAGTGTTAATTATGTTAGCAATTTGGCTTTTGTAATATTTCAGTTTGATTTTTATAAATACATTCTGTTGCTTTGTAATAACCATTTATTACAAATTATATCTAACTTTTCCATGTGAAATGCTTTCATTCTTAAAACATACTGTTTGAAATCAGCTGCTCAGTAGTAAAAGTGATACTGAAGCTATGAATAAAGCCTTGGTTGTAGGGAAGAGGTATTTTTCTCAGGTTAAAAAAAAAAAAAAAAAAAACAAGGGGTACAATATTAAAATTTAATAAATGAAATTTTAATGGGGGAAGTGATAATACAGCTCTGAGATTTGCCTCAAATGATTTAACATATACTTGTAGTCAAGAAGTTTAACCAACGTATAGCTGTTTTTAATATTTTATCATAATTAAGGTATAAAATTCATTAAACATAGAAATCATGTCTGGAAGAAGTTTTTGTGAAAATAAAATCGACTATGGAAACATTATTTCTCTGCTTTTTAGTATACAGAATTAGTTTTAAATTAACTTCTAAAGTATGAGAAAAGAAACATTTTCAAAAGAAATGACTCTGCCTTTAAATACAGTACACTGGTTATATGTTTTAAAATCTTACTTTGTGCGTATTTCATGGATATATACTTTGGAGTATGGTTATATTATATTGCAGATTTGTTTATTTTCTCAGTATAATTGCTGTGCATATGTATATCTTAATTATGTAAAAAATTAGTTTTGATTTCACCTTCTTAGTTTTTCACTTTGATATCATATTTTCATGTTTGTGATAAGGTATTATCAGTTAAATGTATAGTAAATAATATTTTGATGTATGTAAGTATTTATAGAGAGATTTATTCTTGGTTTGTTTTGGTAGGTGATGCCTTAAGTGAGTGGATAAGATGTTATTTTATTGCTTGCTTTGAAACTGTCATTTGCATATTATTGGTATTACTATTTTTGGGGTCAGCAACCTGAAGTCATTTTATTTTCATTTGTTAAAATTTTGAGTGTAATGAGGAAAAAAAATACAGTTGACATTTTAGTGGTCAGCCTATTTATTTATTTATTTTTAATTTTTGGGACCAGAAGAGGAGCTAATATTAAGATCCAGTAGTAGCTTTTATAAGTACACCAAAACATTCTTGATTTTTAAATTAGCAGGAACAACCGTATTGAAATCAGTTTATGTATATATACAGATCTGAAAATATACATCTTTGCTTTCTGTAAAATGTAAATGAAGTGCTGCTCTAAAAAACAATTTTTTTATCAATAAAGTATGTTATATGCAGTTAAAAGTTTAAAATGTTAATTACTGCAGTATCAGAAAACATTTTGTTTAAAAAAGTATAATGATCAGTTTCTTAATCTGTTAAGTAAATGCATGGTGTTTTAATTTAGTAGCATATACAGATGATTATTTTCATAACACCGGCAAGGTCTTATTTTATTAATGTTCTAGCACCATCAAGATGTAAATTATTTAGTGTTGTGTGTTTTTGATATTTGTAAAAGTTGATTTTTTATTGCGTTCAAAGAATTCACTACAGATATTGGCTGCTCTATTTCCACAGTTGCAAATGAAGTTATCATCCTGTGGTACTGAAAGTCTAAACTGCATGGTGTTGAAGATCCCATTTGCTACAAGATAAATGTCACCTATCTAAGGACTTCATAGAAATTTGATAGCCATGATGCGACTGAGATTGAGGTATTTAATTTTACTTCTAAGTATTGCAACTTTTACTGTCTACTTCACTGTTTTTCTGCCACCTCCAAAGCCTGCCAACAAAGCTTTAAGATTAAAAGTAACTCATGAAGATAAAAGCTTAACTCTTAACTTAAAGGATGATAATCCTTTACAAATTGAATGGCAGTATTTTGATGAGAAGAAATATATTAGTAAAACTCTAATAAATCCAGGTGAAAACCCTTATTCTCGTAACAAATTTAATCAAGCTGCTAGTGATAAAATACTGAGTAATCGAGAGATTCCTGACACAAGACATGATGAATGTTTTTCTCGTTCATTCAGAAAAGACCTTCCATCAACTAGCGTTATTATTACTTTCCATAATGAAGCTCGTTCAGCTTTGTTGCGGACTATTGTGAGTGTTCTTAACAGAAGCCCTGAACATTTGATTAAAGAAATCATTTTAGTTGATGATTTTAGTGATGATCCATCAGATGCATCTGAACTCGCAAGTATACAAAAAGTTGTAGTGCTTCGTAATGATAAACGTGAAGGATTAGTTAGATCAAGGGTTAGAGGAGCAGATGCTGCCAAAGGAAAAGTTCTAACATTTTTAGATAGCCATTGTGAATGCAATGTAAATTGGCTAGAACCTTTGCTCGAGAGAATTGTAGAAGATTCTACAAGAGTAGTATGTCCTGTCATAGATGTTATTAATATGGATGATTTTAAATATTTTGGTGCTTCAGCTGATTTGAGAGGAGGCTTTGAATGGAATTTAGTATTTAAATGGGAGTTCCTTTCAGTTCAGGAAAGACAGCAGCGTGCATCAGATCCAACTGCAGCTATAAAAACCCCTATGATTGCCGGGGGTCTGTTTTGTATTGATAAAGATTATTTTCAAAAAATGGGAAAGTATGATGAAATGATGGATATATGGGGTGGAGAAAACCTTGAAATATCATTTAGAATATGGCAATGTGGAGGAAGCTTAGAAATTATTCCTTGTAGCAGAGTTGGGCATGTTTTTCGTAAGCAACATCCGTATTCATTTCCTGGTGGTAGTGGCAATGTATTTGCTCGAAATACTAAAAGAGCAGCCGAAGTGTGGATGGATGAATATAAGAATTATTATTATGATGCAGTACCTGTTGCAAAAAACGTACCTATAGGTAATATTCAGGATCGCCTGGAGCTCCGACAAAAATTAAACTGCAAGCCCTTTAAATGGTTTCTAGAAAATGTGTATCCTGAACTTAAAGTTCCTACTAAAGTTACTTCCCCTCATGGGTCAATCCGCCAAGGATCCTTATGCCTTGATACTCTTGGGCATAGGACTGGTGAAACAGTTGGATTGTATTCATGTCATGGAGGTGGAGGAAATCAAGAATGGTCTTTCACTAAAGACCATCAAATCCGCCATGAACATGTTTGCTTGACTTTAACAAAAACAAAAATAGCCTCTTCAGTGACATTAAGAACATGCAAAGGTGATACTTCTCAGAAATGGCTCCGAATAAGTAACAACCATACTATTAAACATATTATGTATAACCTTTGCTTGGATAGTAGAAATCATTTAACTAAAGGAATTATTGCTGTGAGATGCGATGGTAAAGCTAAGAGTCAGCAGTGGGTGTTCTTTAACTCTGAAGAAGTATAGGAATGCCACGATCTTGCTTTCATGGATCTTGTGATTGCATTATCAAGTCCAAAGTAAATATGATGTGATAAATATGTGCCACTTTTAAAGTCATGTTCAATAATTTTACTTGTTCAGAGGAACATATGCTCTCGTAAGATATGACATTTGAAGCCATATGTTTTCTAAGTGCTAGTCATTCATTTAGTCAAACTAGGCAGCTGGAAATGCACTGTGCAAACATACAGTGAAACGTGTCTTTTAAGAAATATGTTCAGAATTTTTATTTAACCAGTGTCATTAGTGATGTAATAGTTTGTCTGAAGTATTTTATTATAAATTATGTAATTATTATTTATTATTGAAAATATATTGAAAACAGAAAGGAGTATATATTCGATTTCATTTTATATGTCTTAAAAAGTGAATCAAAATAAGGAAAGAATGACGTGATTTGTTTTGTAAGAATTAAAATATCTTATGCTTTAAACCTTGGTAAATACGTATTATTCCGTAGACCGTGAAAGTAACTGCTATTCTTGAAACTGGAATTCTTAAAAAACTGATATCTCTTTATTTAATAAATAACCACTATTCAACACGCTTCAGTTTTGTGCATCGTAAAATGGCTTTCCTCAATTTTTGTTACTCTGTTAAGCCTCCAGTTTTACTGGAAGCTCTACTTAGAAAGCTATGAGTACAAACTACCCACAGATAATTGTTCCAATCTGTTATTGTTTTGTTGGCCATATTCAGATAATCATATCAAGTCCGTTAAATATTTTTTTTTTGATGGAATCCAGTAACATCACACTTATCCATAATTGCAATGCTTAGCAACAATTTCACGGTCAGTGAGATAATGCATATGTACCTAAACATTCTTTATAGTATTATTTTCTGCTGAGTGTCAGAAATATTGTTGTTTAATTACTTAGTAACGTTTCAAAAAATGAGGGGCATATTTTAGTATAGATGTTTTTTCCGTGAAATTTTAAAGTCCTTTGTGTGTGTTAAATCATTTAACATTTCTTACTAAAATCGCCTTATAATTGTTCCTTTGAAAAACTTACATCTCTTTACAGCAAATTAATGAAATAAAAAAAATTAATATCCTATGTCCCATACTAGAGGGAGAATTAAAGTTGCTTAATGCCTAACGACAGCAGAATGGGTACAAAACTTCAGTCTTTGATTCCTCTATAGTTTGCTATTTTAAATTCAGTTTCAGCACTTATAGGCATATGAATTATAAATTTACTAAGTGGTGATGTAACAATGCATTTTGTTACTATAAAAAACATCAGCAGGTTACTTTCTAAGCCATAACCTGCAATGCTTACAGAGACTATAACAGCAACAAAACTGTTTTCATATGCCAGTCCTTATACCTAAGTACGTATAAATCATAAATATTATTTGAATTAACTCATTTTTATAAAAGAAATGTCTCTTGAGTGTATTAGTTGCATTTCAAGAACATAATTACATACTTGAAATATAGTATATGAGCTGAAAAACCTATTTTTAATTCCATAAAAATTAGTTTTAAGTTATAAGTGTAGGACCCCTGTTATTTGTATCCATTTTCATCATATAATATATGTGTAATCATATTTTTAGATTTATGAAAAATTAAGGAAAAATGTAATTGGAATTTGATTAGTGTTTTGAATTTTTTACTAGTTAGCCATAACTTCTGTATTTTAAATCATGTTGCATTGTATTTTGTAGTATAAGTGCTTGTTATTTCATTTTCCTTGTTTCTGAGTAGTTTTTGTTATTAGTTTCATGTTCTGTTATTTTTCAAATTTAGACATGTGTCAAATTTAGACATTTTCTGTTGAACATGACTGTTTTGAACTCTCTTAATAATGTTAAGAAAATTTTTTACTGAATGTTGACAATCTATTTACACATATCTACACAAGGATTAAGATATTGCAGTTCGAATTACTGTTCTTTCAAAATGTAGTTTAGTTTCTTTTGTATCTAATTTCATTTGATAAAGTGTTTTGGTTTTAAAATTCTGTCAGCTGTATATGACTTTGAAATTGTTTAATTTAGGAATTTACTAACAAATAATTTATATGATTTAGCTTCATATCATTTAGAATGTGTGATAATTTGAAATTCTGCTTCTGATTTCAGCAAAACTTAATAAAAAATAATAAAATAACATTATGCCATTAACCCTTAATTAATGTCGGGGTTTTAAAGTTGAAAATTTTAGTGATTCAGTGTTGCATTAATTATTTTAAAATGACTACTGTTAGCAATTTATGCCAGTTTCTTACTGTTTTTACTAATTCAAGAGTTTGTTGTTTGCAGATGATTTATGACTTATTTGATTATTTGACTTATGGCTTATTTAGTGATTTATGACTTTATTGGTTATTCATAATAGTGCTTTGTATTTTCAATATATACTATTTTCTCTTAATATTTAATTTATCTTAATATTTATTTCTCTCATTTTCTTATTCTTTAATCTCTTAATATTTATTTTTAAAAAAACAATTAAATCTACTTTTTTGAAAAACATAACGAATTTCAGTAGTATTCAAAATTTTCACATCTGAGTTATTTTTTGTTATGCCATTCTTTTAATGTGTAATTGCATTAAATAATATTTAAGTGTACAGGGAGATTGCATTGAATAATGCGGGATAAAATTATGCTTTTGTTTCATTTTGTGTCTTATGTACACTTCATCAAAAACTTGCATTTTTCTCTTGATTTAACAAAAATTTCTAATTAAAATATCTTGATTGCAAAAATATGTTGAACAATTTATTTACATCAGTCAAAAGTCGTTATATCCGCACTCGTCGGGAACTTTGGCGATTCCGGATTCCGGATTATAGATCATCATATCTCAGTTTAAGATGGCATGCAGAAAAAAATTAAAAATATGAAACCGTAATTTATGAAATAAAGAACAATTATGATCTAAAGACTATCAAAATTTACAGAAAAAAAAAAAAAAAAAAAAAAAAAAAAAAAAAAAAAAAAAAAAGCTTTATATTTATTTACTTTATTAACATTTCTTTCAATGTAAGTTGTTTAAGTTGCTTCGTTTTATGTGATAATACTTTCTCTTTAATTCTATAAACAGACATAATTTCTTGTTCAGTTACGAAGTTCCGCTGTTCAAGTCCCGTAATTGCTGTGCTGAGAATACCGACTAACTTGTCAATCGAAATTTTTTCGTTTCCTATAACCTCTGTGTCACTTTCTTCACTATCAGAAGCGAATTGTAATGACGAGGAATTTGATTTAAATCATATCAAAGACGGAGTACATCGAGATGAAATACTACATTTAGTAAGGAATTATAAGCCAAATAAAATAAAAACATCTGCCCTGAAGATAGGGATAGTGCTGACAGATCAACTTATAATTGATTGCGCGCCGCGGCGTCCCCCCCCCCTGCCGTCGCAGAGCAGCGTGAAATTGAGAAACAGATTTCGGAATGGTTAGATAAATAAAGGATTATGCCTTTATTCATTTTTTGCAGCAATTCCACTTTTTGTTTAATGGACTTCGAAACATACTTTCGCTTTGTAGGTCCTTTACATATTAGTGTATTATGTAATTACATATTATGTATTACATATTATGTATACATATTATGTATTAAGTAATTAAATTAAATACATACTTTACATATTATGTATTAAGTAATTAAATTAAATACAAGTAATCATTGCCATTGATCAGAAATTAGTTGACTTTTCAAGGGGAACAAACCAACTCCGGTTCAATGAACAATAATTAAGAAATAAATACGAAGGTGTTTCGTCCTTTACTTGAGCATTAAGTTGATGCCAAACCGGCAATTCGAGCCAGGCCAAATATTTTCATGAATAGAAGGGATCAAGAACCAGTGCAGAGAAACAAAGAACTCATTCCGATTAAGCATTTTAGCTAATTTAATTTTGAGTGAAAAGCAATTTCTGCAGTAAAATTGATATTGCTCGAGTAATTGTCCCCCCGACACCGTGTTTATGCATTTTAATTCAAAACTATTTGTAAAAAGTTAAACATTGGAAATTGGCATTATGAAATAAAATTCAAAGTAATTGAAATAAGCATTAGAAATTTACAAAATATAAGAAATATAATGTAATCTTTGCAAAAACAAATCAAAAAATAAAAATAAAAATTTTAAATTTTAAAAATATATAATAAGAAAAGGGAATGTACATGAAGATATAAAAGGCCAGAAAAAGCATTAATTAACCTACGTTCTTTCTAGTGGGAAGTGGGCAAAGTGTTTTCTTCGTGTCTGACTCAGAAGGGTTGTGTTTTCGAAATTCTTTATCAGCAGCGGGGGCTTTGAATTATATCAGTCGGTAAGACTTGTGTGAAGTAATTTATAGTAGTGGAAGGGACTAGGAATTCTTGAGGGATGAATGTTGTGGAGCTCTTATTTGAGTGAAACCGTCTGTTAAAATTTTTTGAAAATAGTAGTGAATGGAAATGAATTCATTTCTGGCTAATTGTCGTTTCGTAACAATTAAGAAATTAAGAAAAGGAAAAAAGGAATTTTCAATAGCAATCTCAAAATGCTCCGAGACTGTGAACGTATAAACTTACCTCATAAAAATCTAGCCACAGTGTCATTGAGAGATTTATCATTGCCATCTAAACTTCTGTATAAGTGTATGCTTTCATTCAAACACCAAGTCTCATTTTTTAGTATTTCTAGCATTATCTTTTTTATTGGCACTGAATCTCTTTTTGGGTATTAAAATACTGACTTTTCAGTGTGAATTTCAGTTCGGGAATGAGAAAGAATTAAAGCAATTATAATTTATCATTAGAAAAGTTTTAGAAGTGATTGACTTGGCGTAGCCTAGAAATTTTTATGGTTTGGATGCTGTATGAGTAGATGCTTTATTATGAAACAGCATTTCTTTTCCCACCTGCACACTGGCAAGTATGCAAGTGGCACTCTGGCAAATGTCTTTTCCAAGCTGCTGTAAAATATTAACATAAAATGTGACATTAATACT